TAATGCAGAAGTTTTTGTTAAACGTTTTAATTCAAAATTTATTATTAATATACAGAGACATTGCCAAAATCGTATTCATTCATCAATACTGATTATTAATGAAAATATAGAATACGTATATCATTACATTAGCGGTTGCATTTGTACATTTTGTTAAGCTTTTCAATATCTGATTTGCTAAAACCTTCTCTTTGACCGATTATTGCGTTTGGATTCTGGAAAATTTCAACAATAATTACTTTATGTTATTAAGATTGTTTCTACATATTAACATAATACACACACGTGCATATATAGACACGACTTGCGAATTATATGATTTGACACGACAAAGCATATAATTCGCAAATTTACAAAAGATAGAATTTTTATCTTTTTTTGACAAATCGATAACTTGCATCTATCTTGGAAAATTAATATCAAACTAGTAATAAAAACCGTTTTATGAAAACGATTACACTTACTTTGGTCTCAATAGTTTTTCTGCCATTCTTAGAGAACGCATATGCCGAATAATGCATCACGCTGCTGTAATCGTAACCAACACCGAGGTCAAGGACTTGATTTGGATTCATCTTATCGAAATTATTCTCGGTACCTGTAGGCATAATACATATTGTAAAAATTGAAATTTATAATACAAATGGTAATCTCTCAGTCAAAATTATTGCAACGTTTACTATCAGTAAAATATTATTTTGGTACAAGAAGTATGATAAAGAAGATTTTTAATGTTAAGAATATTAATATTTTTTTAAGTAGAATATATACTGAAGAAAATATTTACCGATTTTCAATTATTTAATTTTAGAAATATAGAAAAATTGCTAGCTTGCAAAATGTATAATTATGTAATCAATATATTCATATTTATAAAAATAATTAATATTTGATATTAATAAATATTAATTGATATACCAAATATATTTTTGTCTTAATAAAAAAATTAATTCTTGTAAGTGTTTCATTGTTTGAATAGATTTATAAATACATACCGGATGCAATATTATTCCAAATGATAGTCACGTAATTATCTCGGTCACTTCTACTTTGCTCATGCCAAAAACCGCATGCGTGCAGGAATTCATGTATCACAGTACCTATCTTTGTAATACAACCAGGTCTCTGCAAGTTAACTTTTTGTTCACCACCGATCTTGCCAACGTAACTCCAACATCCAGTATTGTCGCTAACAATATTGATGTAATCTTTTTGGTTCGTCCTTTTTACAAATTTGATACATGTCTTTGTTTCATATTCTTTCATCGCTGCTTGTATAAGTGCCTTCTGTTGAGCATCTGCAATTAAAAATTGAAATATGAAAATTATTAAATTAAAACATTATTGAACACATAAGAATATTTATCATCTATTAAATACATAAGCAAACACTGTTGATTTTTTTGTTTCTATTTAACTTTCCTCATTTTATCCTCATGTAAAATAAGTTAATAATAATTTTATAATAATAATTGTTTTACCTCATTTAATTTTAAAAGTCAAAAGTGCATTTGTTTTAAATTAAACTAATTTGATTATATTACTTACAAGTTATTTTTTATACTTGTATTTTGAAATATAACACCATTCTATAAGCCAAATTATATAAACATATAAAGTATCACTAAAAATGATCACTTTTTTATTTTACTCTAAGGAATATCATAATATTTTTCAACACGGGCATATAAACTCTTATTGGAAATACTTACTGAAGTTACCGGTGATCACGAAGGGAATAATGCCGTTAGGCCAACGGAGAGACTCGTCTGCTGCACCATTCCTTGCACTATCTTTGGTGAGGATAATATCTCCCTCCAAATAGCTGCCTAATTCCTCGGGATTCATCTTCATATTCTCGGTCCATTGGGCTACCTTGATTCCCGATTCTTCGTTTGGAATCATGCTAAACGATCCATCAACATCCACGAGAGAGACTGGTCCTGACGACGTAAACGTCGTAAGGACGAAAAGCGCCCACGCAAAAATGATCGATCGACACATGATCGAAGTTTAAGATTTCAGACGGATCGATTTACCTATGGTCCTACAACGATGAAAGCGATTGCAGAAATACAGAGATTCAGATCGGATCTCTTTTTATACATTATATCGCAAAATTGTCTGCACCCCACTTGTGTGTCTTTCATCAGATAGCCAATCATACCGAACAAAGTCATATCACAAACAACGCAAACTTGCCAATGAGTGTGATTGATTGATTGATAATATAATGCTTTCTTCCTTTTTACATATTTTTTTATATATACAAATTTCAGGTAAATAATTTTATTACAGAATGTACATTGAATTTAAATTAATTTAATTAAATCATTTAATTTCACTCTTTCTAATATCGTAAGTTTAATATTTATATATTTATCTAAATCAAACGCATAAGATTAAAAAAAGAATAGCTTTAATATAAAATTATATTAATACAATTATCTTTAACATATAACTAATAAATAAAAGTAGTTAATACAAAATTATAATTATTTAGCAAAAGATTTATTTAATAATGAATGTAATAGTGTATTATATAATATTATATAAGTAAATAAAAGATATAAAACGATCCTTACTTATTATTCATTCATAAACTTTTATATTTTTTAGAATATAATTCGTTCTTATTTTTTTAATATAAATTTAATAATTTTTAATAAAAGTAATTCTTCTTTGCTAATTCTTTTTTTGATTAATTAAAGACAATTAAAAGAACATTTAATACAAGGACATTAGACAAATACATAATTTTTATAAAGTATTTAATTTTTTTAATACTGCTAATTTTCAACAAAATTATAGGCTTATCAAATCAATATCTAGTTATATGCTTATGAAAGTTTTTATCTATAAGTATAACAAATGACAAAAAGGTCTCTAATATCGATCTTTAATATTAGAAAACAACATATACATATATAGAATATGTTGTATATAACATAAAGTTCGTTAAAAAATATATGGAATAAGCCAACTGAAATAATTTTTAATAATAATATCTTGAACAAATAAAAAGTTTGAACAGCTGAGAAAGATAAATTTGCATCTTATTATGTTTATGTCTAGATCGCAGGATCAGTTGAGTTTTTTCAAAATGTTTTCGACATTAATACTTTTATTGTTTAATTTTGCTTTAAAAATTCTAAACAAAAATTATATATTTTTTAACTTAAACGTTTCTTTAATAAAAAAAAAGATATAAAAAAAGAGCGATATATATTTTAAGATAAATATGTAAATAAAGGTTTTTGTAAAAACTATACATTATTCAAAAGTTTTTTCAACCACGTATAAAATGTAATAGATATAAAAATAAATAATAATTATTTAACAAGAAGTAATTTTATTAATGAGAACATCATGCTATACAAATTATTTTAATTATACAGTTTATGATCTTTATTGTCTATCCATCAGTAATATCATTTATTATTCTGTTCTTTATAATTTTTTTATTTTAACCTTATTTAATCTATCATATATTTAAGATCATTTCTTGATAATTTATATATTATTCGTTAATGAATAAAAAATTGGAATAAAAAATAATAACAAAATTGGATAATTAATTATTTTTAAACGTATCATCGCGACCAACATATTTAACTCTTTTTAATCATAAAAATAAATATAAGAAGAAGAAATTTATTATTATACTACTACAGTAATTTTTTTCTCTTTGAATTATTCATAAGATAATGTACAAATAAAGAATATTTCATCGCGGAGTATCTCTCTCTTTCTTTGAGTGTATATTGTCAGTTGGAATTACGTAATGTTTTCCTTCTTGAAAAATTTCCAATGTACATTTTCTCCGCTTTCATTAAAAAATTTTAGTATTCAATTAACATTTATTGGAATGGAAAGATAAGAAGTCGTTGGCGGGAAAGATTTGACATCAAAGATGTTATATAATGCGATGCATTTGTGTGTATAATATATAATATATATCTTATAATACATATATAAAGTACATTCATGTACATATTACATATTCATAATATTAAAAAATACATAATGATTAAATAATGATTAAATAATGTAATATTGTCAGATAATAATACTGTTTACATTCGCTGTTTTACATATCGTCTTTTAAAAGACGCAGTCATACGTTTTGCACATAAGACTAGATGTCCTTTTCTTTCATTAAGTGAAGATTCTTATCAACTTTTTTATTGATTTTAATCAAGAATTTCCTCTTTCATTTAGTCTTAACGTACGTCAAAATTATCAAATATTCTTTTATTAGTATGTCTCGCCATTGTAATCACCTATGACAGAACGTTTGCCGCATCTATACATTCTTCTAATTTTTAAAATATCTTTCTTGCTGAAACCTTCCCTCTGGCCGAGTTTTACTTCGCTGTTACCTTGAAAAATTCCGCCAATAAGATCCAAAATATTACCGTCGAGATGCCTCTGTGAATACAAACACATATATAGATGCATAAGATCTGATGTGATCTCTTGTAATTCGCAAATTCGTAAAATATATTTTATTTTACAGGCAAATTCGGTAATTCACTGAGTAAATTGTTCAATAATCAAACTATTCAAGTAATGTCCTAGTAAACGAAAATGGATTAAAATGGATTAAAATTTTCAAAAGTACACACTCGTCAACATTGAAATGAATGACCAGTGCCTTTGTACTCGTTTATATGTATAATAATATTTTTATACACACATACGGAAAAGTTTTTTGTATTCAATTGGATTGAATTTGGGTTACATTGAATTGAAAAACTGCAATTCTTTTCCAGAATTTTTAATTGAGCAGTATCCACTTCTTAAAACTGAACTTATTTCTGGATTGAAAGACAAAAAT